GAAAGCAGGCGGGCTGCAGGATGAGCAGAAAGGAGGGGATGCTCAGCCTGTCCCCAGTGCTGCTGGATATCCTGTGTAACGTGAGCAGGGAAGATGAACACAATGATAAGAGGTCAAATGTCCACATCAGAAAGCTATGAAAATCACGGGAAGTGGTTATTAATAGCCATAGTGGGGGGTGTGAGGGTTTAGCAGGTGGTCCTTTTGTAAGAGGGCCGTACCTGCTCTGCAGGGGGATGCAAGAGCTCAAGTGCTCAAGTGCTATCAATCAGATGCTTTCTCTCTGCCAGCAAAAGTTTCCATCACAGAAAATGGGAGTGGGTAGGAGGGGTAAGTGGGGTGGCTTTTTTAGGTGATTGTGAGCAAATCCTTCCCATTTCACATGTTCGATAAGCAAATACCAATTATTCCTTCCTACCTATCACTGTTCAGTTAGCAGGGATGACATCAAGAAGCTCAGGGTCATGGTCAGGTTGGCAAAATAATATCTTACCCTGAAAAATTGCAGGATTGGGATACACAGGAAATACCACACGTGTAGCAGAGCTTTGATTGCCCAGTTACAACAGTCTCTGGGCAAAAAGGGGAGAAAACATGGTGCATATTTTTTGTAAGCTTTGGATGGCAGACATGAACCCTGATGCTTCATTTGGAACAGCTCTTCTTCCCTTCTACAAGAAGAGCTCATGATACCTACGTTTCCAGTGCATATTTTTTATCCTACAATTCAGATCCCATAAGTCTTAACTTGATGCCTGATAAAGTATGTAGACATAAAGCAGCCAGAATTTCCCCATTTGCTAAGCAACAAGTAGGATTTGTGCTTATATGTCCACTCCAAGATTCTGTATTAAAAAAACAAAAAAAAGGCTTAAAAATTTGAAAATGTAGATGAGTAGCAAACCTTAAAGGTCATCCTGACACAGAAGGATTTTAATGAATTCCTGGATTGATCTTTGTCCTATTTCTTCTAGAATTGGATTATAACGATTGTATTCACAGTCTTCTTTTTTTTTTTTTTTTTTTAAATAGAGTGCTTGGCTTCATTAAATAAACTTAGGGTTGTTTTGCTTCAGAAAGAGTGGCTTGCTTTGTGAAACTAGCTAACTGCAACTGAAATATGGGTGCATACGCTGCACTAATCATCCGCCTCCTTGATAGATTCAGTAATTCAAATAGGCTGACATACAAGAAAGGAAAGTAAATTTAGCTTCAAATTGAAGGCTGTGTATGGCTGGCATAGTTGGCCTCAGGGGATATTTATGAGCAGAATATTCTTGGGGAACCAGGTATAACCAGGGCTGCATTTTTTTAAATTATTCACCAGCACCAAAATGAATGGGCAGTGCTTATGATGTAGAGGTGCAAAACGGCCTGAGGAAACTGCATGGAGCTGTGAGAGGAGGGGCAGCTGGGGGTGAGAGAAAGGCTGTGCCCCCAGAGGGCAGTGGGCATGGAATGGGCTGCCCAGGACAGCGGGCACAGCCCCAGCTGCCACTCTCAGACACAGGGTTGGGTTTGGGTGCTGCTGTATGGAGCTGGAGTTGGACTCAGGGATCCGTATGGGTCCCTCCCAACTTGGGATATTCTGTGATTCTAAAATATTGACAACAGGCAAATGAAGGGGGTCAGCATTGCATGAGTATGTGCTCAGCCTCCCCAAAATGTGTCACACCTCAGGTGCAGCCATGCAGGCTGTACATCTCTGGTGTGATGCTCTGTACGGTGATCTTCTTCTGAAATCTGAAGATGCACACTTGTGGAGGTGGGAAGCAATTAAAAATGGTGTCCCCAGTGCCCATCACTGCACCCAAAAAGCACAGGATGGCTGCAGGGGCAGATGGATGCATTCTCATGGCCTCTTTCTGTGCAGAAAGGCAAATCAGATGATTGCTGTGGTCTCTCCTTGTCACTGTCCTTGCTAAAACAAAAGTCACCCCGCTCCTCACCCTGTGACTGGCTCCTGAAGGCAGATGCTTGCTCTCACATGGCATCTTCAAAAGCTCATGCATCACGGTTTGGATGCAGGCTTTTGCCTGTCCTGATCTGATCGCAGCAGACAGGCGTGTGTGAAGCTGCATGGGGTAGGTTTGTTTTTAAGGGCTTCCCCACTCTTTGGTCTCAACAGAGAAAGAACATCCCTCAAAGGGACTCTGAAGGGACAGGACTGGCTGTTAGCCCCCTGATGACTTCTCTTTCTTTTCCTTTTTTTATTTTTAACTCAAAATAAGGATGCCTTCCTCTAGCTTAGCTGATAGTGCTCGCAGCCTGCTTTGTTCCTGGCTGCATTTCAGTTTTAACAGAGTGGTAACTCTCTGACGGGCGGTGTGAGCAGCAGAGACTAAGGCTGCTTCTGGGACCACTGCATCCTGCCCTTTCTCACCTTAGCAGAACTCTGAATAAAGGAGAGTGGGAAAAAAGTGCTTGCCCACGAATCGAACCCTGTGATACGGAGCTGGGCATCTGCAGAATTTGTACTAAGATCCTAAAATAGAGATGCAATTATTCCTTTCAGATTTACTGCAAGTCCAGTGAGGATAAATCTCTGCCTTCTTCCAGGTCATTAGCAGCCTTGCATCCCGTGCCTGAGGCCCCAGGTGTTTTCAAAGCATTGCTTAAAGGTAACTCCTGGGACACAGCTCCCATTTTCAATCTGTGTAAGCACACCTCTAAGAAATCAGTGTTTTGGCTGAAATTCCTGCTTTTCCTTTTAAAAGCACTGGAACTACTACACTCTGATATTAGGCAGCCCTTATCATGACAGGACAGGCTGTTATTTCCTTATCCATGTTACAGTACATGGATGTCAGCAGCATAAAGGCTCACCCTTTCACCTGTGGCTTTACATTCCTGCTGAGCTGATGGAAAGAAATGCAAAAGGTGAGACATGGTATTGGGCTGAGTTTTTGGAAGACCACTGAGCAAGGCAGAGCTGCTGCTCTCCATCCCCCTGCAGTGTATTTGACTGCCTTGGTTTCATGATAACCTCACCAGCCGCTCTGGATCCTTCCCACAGCACCTTGGCTGCAGCATCCATCCTCTGGAGTCTCCAAGGCAAAACGCTATTATGGACACTGCATGTCCCTTCAGATTCACCAAGGCTCATGCAGGCTTGGAAAGCCTCCATTGACCACTGCTGGTAGCAAAGGTCAGCCTTTTCTACCAGGTTTTTTCCTTCCTCCTCTCTGACTTGGAAAAAAGCAGTAGAACCACAGGTGATACAATTCGATTAGAAGCTCCTGAGGCTTAAATTAAACAGAATTATTTATCAAATCTCTGGGCCATTAGCCCTGTCTTGAACAGCAGCCTTGCCATAACCTCCCTCTCACTCCTCCCACACGCATTTCCCTTCGCTTACAAAGGCCCAGCAAGAGCCAATAAAACAAAATAAAAGCAAAAAAAAAAAAAAAAGGAAGCTAAAAGGCAGAGAGTGGCAGGGATGATAATGCACACCTAAGTGCCCAGAGTTGCTGGATGCTCCGTGCTTCTGCACAGCACTCATGCATTTTCCCTACCCTGTTCTTGCTCCCACCCCATGCCCACTCCATCCTTCCCATCCCAGCCCTTACCAACACAGCTCCTCGACCACCAAGATCTCAGTGCTGAGACTATGTGCTCTTCATGTGTAGTTCTTTGCCTCCTAACTGATGGGAATTTGGGTTTTGGCAAAGCCCAACATCCTTACATTCCACCTCCATCACCAGGGTTCATGATGAAAACCAAGCTCTGCACTTCTGGGATTGGAAACACCAAGCCACACATCAGCTCATTTGCAATGTACAGTAAACTCCTGGTACCTGGCAACATGGCTTGTTATTGAATGGAACCTGATAAACTGGGTGAGTCCAGAAAATTTCCCTTCTTGGGTGGAAAAGATGGAAAAAGGAGAATCTCCACTCTTGATATTACATCTCGTAGGTTCTGTTTATGATCTTTTTTATTTTTTATTTATTTCTAGGATAAAATCAGGCTGACAAGGCCTGCTTAGCCCGAGAAACTTTTGTTTCATCTTGTTTTCCTGCTTAAGCAAAACAATTATTTTAAATTGTAGCCGTTCCCATCATGCCCTCCCTGCAGGAATGTTAGGGGAGCTATTTGCAGAGTGAGATGATGTTGGACGAGCAGAACTTGTCCCTCGGTACTTAACAGCTCCCCCAGCTTTGGCTGATTATCAGAGATTTCAGTTCTATCTCAGTACTTCCAGTTTTGTCCAAATTATTTGGCTTGAACATTCCTTGGCTGGAAAACGTGTTGAGTTCATCCTCTCCCATGGGAATCCCAGGGCTTCTGCTTCAGCCTGAAAACACCACACAGCCTCCTCCAGAGCAAAGAAATCGGCTTAAACAGAGAAACAGACCGGGGACAGCAGGTCTGCAAGAGCACTGAAACCACCAGAAAGATTGGTTTCTGATTGCCAAGATTTAGAACTTGCTTGCGTTGAGCCTGCACCGCTCTGTCAGTTCCTAAATGAAGTAACAACACAGTTAACCACAGTCTGGATCAGCCAGGAAAAGTAGAAATTGAGAATGTAAGAAATCTATAGAGCTTTTACAAAGCCCTCTGTGCTTACTTAGACCAATGGAGACAAACTTTACATATAAAACGAAGACACTGTTGTTACAGCTGTGTCATCTTTAAGGAAGCTGTGTGTGCTTCACTTAGCATTTGATTATGAATGTAACCCATTAAGTTCTCAACTCCTGTTTGCTAATTGGAGGCCTGTAATGATGCCCAGAAATGGTATTCAGAGTGAATGGTATTCAGAGTGCTGAAATAATGTAATATACATGATTAAGAAATGCATAGCGATTGCCTAATTAGGTATACAAGTAATATAATAAATCTTATAGGAAAGTATTTTCCATCTGCTTTCTGAGCTGCGAGACAATAAAGAATAATAATTAGAAAAGAAGAAGAAAAAGAAGACAATTCAGACAAGTATAGCAGGCCAGAACTTTTCTTCCATGGGGCAAACAGAACTCACAAGAGTTGGTGGCCAGTTCTAAAGATAGAAACAATTCAGGCTTTTGAAGTAGGCTCTGACTCCGACAATCCTATTTCTCCATTAAATCCTAATCTGAAAATAAAGAGCATTTCAAAAGCCACTTGATGTGGCAATCTGATGTGGCCACCTTTATCAGAACACTGAGCAGAAGTCAGCATCCATTGGTCACTGCTGCAGAGCATCTTCAGTAGTGCCATCTCCCAGCAGTTGGGAGTTCGGTGCATCACCTGAAGATTCTCCCTTGCCTGTATGTGGCAAAGATTCTGTTTCTCTTTTTCCTTGCACTCGCTTTTACATTCATGTCCGTGCAATAAAACCCATCAGTGCTTCACTGTGCTCATGCAAACACCGAGGTGAGTCAGTGCTGGTAATGATGCCTTCAAGTTAATTACCCCCAGTTTGATTGGGGTGAAGGGAAAATCATGAATATAACCCTGAATTTAACAAGCATAAAAGAGCATTTAATTATTCTAGTTATATGGTTATCCCCAGATACTTTCTCATTTGTCCAACAGGATCTGCTCCTCTAGGGCATGAGGTAATTGCTGATATCCTTTCACGCTTCACCAGTCGCTCTGGAGTAGTTAATGATTTATGAGGAGAGCTGGAAGTGCCCGGCCAGCAGCACCATGCCCAGCACCTTGGATGCTGAAAACAAAAAACCCAAAACCCAGAATTACAGTCACACACTCAGAACAGAGCCCACACATCCAGCAGTGACATGGGGATGCCAGAGGCTCTTTGCAGAGCTTCCCCTCCTGCAAGAAACCTGGTGATGAGTCAGACTCGGGGGGGTGGGATAAGGAGATTGTTCTGGCTTAACAACACCTCTCCCACCCTGTTTTTACCTATTGCAAAACCTCCACCCCGACAGAAGCACAGCTGCATGAGCACCAAACTCATGGTTCAGCCAGAATCCTCTCCAGACTTTCAAGTCGTCAAATTAACATTTGCATCAATTTAATTTTCACATGACTCATCACGACGTGATTCAGTCTCTCTCTGAGCCGCTTTCAAATAGCGCCGACCTTTCTTTCAAAGCTTGACCTCAGGTGGGGATTTAGAGGAGGAATACAAGAGTGATTCAAAATACAGATGCCAGGCTAAGGCAGCCCGCAGCTTGCCAAGGAAGGAAGCTGTCACTGTGCAGGACGCATGCGTGATGCATGGTTTCCTGCCACCTTGTATCAGTTTCTACATAGGATAGCATACATAGCAATACGTCAGGAAAGCAGTTGCAAAACAGCTGAAAGCATGCGTGTAAGACCATAATGCTGAGATGGAAATGTGTCTTTGAGGTGAGATTTGTAGAACTCCTAGACTCAACTCAAGGAGTTGGACTTGATGATCCTTATGTGTCCCTTCCAACTTGTGACATTCTACGATTCTATAAAGCCTCTTGGCCCTGGAGCAAGCTGGGGCTCACTGGTATTAAACAGCAGTAAAGAAATATTTTCACGGGGGATATGAACTCTTTTTTGAAAGCATAAAGGTCCATTCTTTTTCAGCATTTTAACTTCCATTGCCACTTATTTTGCCTCCAGACACCAATCTGAGGCATGTAGACAGCAATCACCCAAGAGATTAGGGAGAATGAAGACTGGGAGATCCTGGGAGACAAAGTCCAAAGCATATCTGGTAATCTATATCTATATCTGGTAAGATGTATCAATCCTCTGGAAGAACTGCCCTTCCAAAACTAGGCAGGGAGTAAACATCTAGAGGAGGTGGCTGCTCTGAACAATCCCTATTGTTGACATCTGCCCCAAAATGCCTAAATTTGACTGAATAAGGTTGGTCTCAATCCAGCAGTTACCCTTGAGTGCAATGTGTCAGATTTAAGTCATCAGCATCATCCAATGGGCCATCAACCAGCAATTTTGAAAGGATCATCTGGCAAAAGACTTGCAGATAGGTCTATATTCATGGTCTGCATTCAGCATGATGGCCCATGTCTACCATCCTCCCCATCTCATTGTATTTGTCATGTACTTCAGAGCTACAAACGTGTACCATCAGTGACTGTGTCTAAGCATCTACTGCTTTACATCACACCAACAGAAACAAAAAAAGTCAGGACCTCAGGATGTCGTCTGCTCCAGTCCTCCTGTGTTCTTCCAGACTGCTTCTTGGGGTCAAGCAAAAGCTATGCAAGGAGTACAGAAGACAAGATGTTTTTAGGAAGCTCCCACCAAAACTACCACCTTAGGCTTACATCGCTCAGCAAGGTGAGGGCTCTTTTGCTCTGAAGATAAGGTGTCAGCCCCCATTCCTAGCATGGTACCTTCCTCTCCTTCTTTTCATGTACATCCAGTCTTCAGCATCCTTCCCAGCAACACTCATCCCTGGAGATGTTCAAGGCCAGGTTGAGACAGTAAAGTGGGAAAGATGAAAGGGGGGTCTGTAACATCGCTTGGCTTTACTAACTCAAAGAAATTAGCATCACGTAATTTAACCCTTCTTGCTAACTCAGGAGGAATTTATTGCTCAGCTTAGGGAATTCGTTTCTTAGTTTAACCTCTTGTTATCTCAAGGGGAACTTATGGCTTAACCTTTGCTAGCCCAAAATACGCTCCCAACAGACAGCCGTCTCTAGTCAGCAGAAAAGGGCCCTGAGAACGTGAGGGGGAGGCAAGGATAGGCAGAATTAGAGATTGCTGAGGTATGCAGGACGGGAGAAGAGCCCAAAACTGGGACAAAGGTCGGAAGGACATGGTGAGGAAGACGTCTGACTTCATCCCGGAACGACCACCAGAGGGGGAGGAAGACGTCGGGCCTTCATCCAATGGATGCTGCTGCGCATGCACTGGGGAGGGGGACAGTATGTGAATGAACTCCCGGAAAGGTGATGAATATGTTAGTGAGTCTTGGGTAACACTCCTGAATATGTATGGATTGACTTATAAATGTAACGGGATCTCACTTTCCGGTGTGCAAGCTAGGAGGAGCGATCCCCCTTGCACCCGGCGTGTGGCGCAGCGCTGAAATAAAGACGTACCTGCTCTTATAACCTTACGTGGGTTAGAGAGTTTGATTCCGCAAATCAAGGTTGGATGGGGCCCTGGGCAACCTCCTGATCCCTGATCTGATTTAGTGGTTGGCAACCCTGCCCATGGTGTGGGACTTGGAATTAGATGATCTTTGAGCTCTCTTCCATCCCAAGCCATTCTATGATTCTATGAAATCTTGCTTTTCCATCTCTCGTATCCTCCAAAATACTTGTAATCATAGACTTATGGCACTTTTGAGACTCACCAGCAGCTGCCCAAGTTCACTGCCCTACTACAGTCAAGAGGGACACAAGCCTGACACGGAATGTCCTGGCTTCTCTTGAAGGCTATTTTTTTAGTAACTCTCCATTTTCAGAGATTATTGGCTTGCTTTTATCATGAAAGCTGCCCCTGGCAATATTTGTCCTTCCTTTGTGAGAAAAACATCCCGGGCCTGAAGTTATATAAGTGTCACATGGGTTTAAGGCATTTTTTCCCCACTCACTCATAAGTGTCAACTGGAGTTTCTTATCCACAGGCAGGGAGTCCGGGAGCAGTCTGTGTCTCTTTGGCTCCAGTATCTCATCACAGGGCACTTTTCACTTCAGAGATCTCTCTTTCCTTCTCAGGCTACTCCTCAAGTCTGTGAACTGATGTCTGAAGAGGGCCAGCATGGCAAGCAGCTTGTTTTTTTCCTCCCTCCACAATGCCAGAAGTCAGGGGGTATTTATAAGAAAGATGCAGGCTGCTGACCCTTTCATCTCACATTTCTTTAGGAAGGATTTGAACTGTTAACTTCCCAGAGCACAAAACAAGTGGCCTGCCAAGTCCCAGGTGCTGAAAACCTCGTAGCAAGCTGTGAGAGACCCCTTCTGTGAGGTGGTAGGACTGTATTCAAAGATGTGTAAGTATGAAAAAGAAAGGGGAAAACAGACAGGGAAAGCAAGAGAAACCTCATCTGTTCCCGTGGATGGCTTTGTGGGAAGTGGTGTTTCCTTGATAAACTCAAGACTGGAGCCCTAAATATTTTAAGACATCAGGGCCAGATTTCAGAGAATCATAGAATGGCCTGGGTTAAAAAGGACCACAATGATCATCAGCAGGGGTTCCAACCCCCTGCTATGTGCAGAGTTGCCAACCACCAGACCAGGCTGCCCAGAGCCACATCCAGCCTGGCCTTGAATGCCTGCAGGGATGGGGCATCCACAACCTCTCAGATTTGTGAATCTGTGCTACTGTAGCCTCCAAGCATACCCATCTGCATGAATAGCTCCTGATTTATAATATCCGTGTTGGAACGACTTGCTTCAGTGTGTTAGCCTGAACTCAACCGATCCTGAAATCTTAAGATCGCTAAAGCAAAGGACACTTCTTCATTTAGTTTGCTATTATGATCTTTTTTTCTACACTCCACTGTCAAATATCTTCGAAACAGTAATGAAACTCAGGTTTGGAAACAAGAAAAATGATGTACAATCATGTTGGCTCCCCTAAACAAGATGAAGATAACTGCAAGAGTTTTGCTGAAATTTTTGCACAAACTGTACAAAATAAGTAAAATTGGAAGGTGTCCTCCCAGTGACCAAAAAGAATTTAATTTATAACAGCTGCCAGCAAGACACTATCAGAGGGAAGTGTGGTACTCAGGTGAATGTCTCTTTTACCTCTGGATGTTGTCATGCTGTTCTATAAGTTCTTCCCTTGACTCAACCATGAATTTCAGGAACACCTTGACCTAGATCTCTTTATCTCTATGTTACAGGTGCCTGATTTGCTTCTTTTCCATCCAAAAAATTTGGCTTGAATATGTGCAAAATCACTTAAACACACCTGCTGCCATGCAAGAAAAGAAGACTTTCCAGAGCTGAGCTTTGTGCTCCTGCTCTCACTTTCTCTGATGTATTTAGAGTGTATTTAGCTGAGAAGTGTAACACCTAAAATAAGAGTCTGAGCTGTGGGTTCATTGATGGCAATGATTCAGTCAATACGCCTCTTCCTTACAGGGGGTGCAATGCATTTCCTGGGCTTAGCTGAAAGAAATTTGGTTCTTTGTTGTTAGTTTTTTGTTTGTTTTTTCTTTTTCCCCTGGTTCTTGGACATTTTACAACAGCTTTACAGCCCATCACCGAGTTCTGTGTAAGACAATTGTCACTGATCAGCACTGATAATGCAGTAAAAAAGAAACTCGATAGACATCTTCACACTTTTATCATCCAAATTCTGATGGGAACAGTACCAGATCAATTGTGTTGCAACGCATGAAACCATCTGAAACAAAATATTTTGCTGTAAGATTTTATTTTTTTGATGGGCTCAAGCAATCCATCCTGTTCAAAATAAATTCAGAAAGGATAAATACAGACCAAAAGAAACAGACCACTGTGGGTACCTACAGATCAGCTGACAACTGAGTTTAGTTTAGAGAGCTTCTGTTATGTTGGAATTTGAGTCTTTAAGGTTTTTAATTTTAGGTTTCTGGTTAAAGTTTCTAGAGATTGAAATTTCCAATTCATTCTGTTTCTCTGTTAGCTGTTAATGGATCATTAATATATGCAGTTTATTAAGTAGACAATAATAGCATTACAACAGGAAAAGCAGGAAAAAATAAACAGTGCAATAATTTGATCAAGTGACCGAGCCTGCAAAACATGGCCAGGATTTCCACGTTTCACTGACCCAACATGTGACAGGCAGATGTGTCTGTCTGTCCATTTGCCTTCCCAATTACAACCTGCATTACAGCTGGAAATGTGCTGTCCTGACTAAGAAGCCCACAAAGAGCATCGGATGCATGGTATCCCCTGCACATAAGAAACAGGGTTTGTAGCATTATATACAGAGAAATCATGGAATCATAGAATGGTTTTGGTTGGGAGGGACCTTAAAGATCATCCATTTCCACCCCTCTGCCATTGGCTGGGCTGCCCACCACCAGCTCAGGCTGCCCAGGGCTCCATCCAGGGCACCCACATCTCTGCTGCATTTAGATGGAAACCCCAATTTACATGACTTCTGTGCCAGGGCCTCACCACCCTCTGAGTAAAGAATTTCTTCCTAGCATCTAACCTAAATTTTCCCTCTTTTAGTTTAAAGTCATTCCCCCTTGTCCTATCACTATCAGACTGTGCAAGAACTCAGTGTCCCTTCTGGCCTCTTCAAAGGCCACACTGAGGTCTCCCAGGAGTCTTTTCCACGCTGAACAAGCTCAGCTCCCTCAGCCTTTCTCCAAAGGAGAAGAGCTCCAGCCCTCTAAGCATCCTCATGGCCCTATCCTGGACCCAACAGCTCCAGCAGCTCTGCCCATTACACCCAATAACCATCCAGTTCAAGCCCCATTATTATTTCATTTCTAAGTCTGTAGCATCACCATTGATCATTTTATTAATATGGGGACATTGGTGGCCAGCACTTGATCAATTACCTGACACACCGTACACCCAATTGCATCTCTGTACGTGCTGTTCTAATTGTTTTATCCACAAAAATGGACAAACACTTGTCAGTTATGTCTTTGTTTCAAAGATAGGGCTGGTAATGTGTGGGGAGACGTGGCGAGGACAAGTTGGCTGCTGTGGGTGTGATCTGGCAAGCTTCTGATGAGGTCACCACAGTTATTACATCAGCAGTGAGTCTAGCTCTACAACTACTCCACTTTCTGAGAAGTGAATTACATGCCTTACATCAGGTACTGCTTCTACAGAGAAGTTTTCAGTACCAGTTCCTACATAAAAGTGCATCTTGGAGGAGCTGGATTTGGGAGGCTCCAACCATGAGGCAAAGGAGAGCCTAAGCAGGCTTAGGCTTTTAGAATAAACACAAACAGCAAAAATGCCATGTGCCTTGCCATCCTCAGATGATTCAGGCTGCTGGCACTGTGCACCTCATCATGCCTCCAGTGGGAATAGATACACCTCTGAGGGATGAAGATAGAAAGCTGAGGAGGATCCAACAAGAATCACAGGTTGGTAGGCAACACCAGGCAGAGACACGTACCTGAAGTCCTGCGTCTCCTGGAGCACAGGTTTCCCAATGGAAATCTTCAGCCTCTTCACACTCATATGTTACCAAAGTGGAGCTCCAGCTCTCCAATATGCCACCAGTGAGCCGCCATCCAGCCTGTGCAGTTTGGGTATGTTTTGGTGCTGAGTGTCGACAGATCAAGATAGTGGTTGTGGTTGATGGCAAGTTGAATCTAAATCAGCAATGTGCCCTGGCAGACAGAAGAGCCAACCATACCCTGGGTTGCACCAGGTCCAGCACTACCAGCTGGGCAAGAGAAAGCCCTCCCACAGGCCATGGCTATGGCAAAAGCTGGACTTTCTCCATGTCCAGTCTGCAGCTGGAGTTGGGATGCCTAGGATGCATCACACTGAAGTACCAGCCATACACAGCAGGACAGACCTGTCCCGGTCTTTCATCTCAAGAGCATTTCTGAATTTTTCAGCCAACAATTATGTCATCTAAAAGGAATAAGTCCTGCTTGAAGGAGGGATCAGCATCCATGAAGGGTAGTAGATGAGACTCAGCAGCATCCCATGGTCACCTGGGTCAGAGCATCACTTTACAGTAAGGGTGGCGAAACACTGGAACAGGTTGTCCAGAGAGGTAGTGGATATCCCATCCCTGGAGACATTCAAAGTCAGGCTGGACAGGGCTCTAAGCACCTGATGGAGCTGTAGATGTCCCTGTTCATTGCAGAGGAATTGGACCAGATGGCCTCTAATGGCCTTCCAACTCAAACGATTCTGCAATTCTATGATTGCTCATCCTTTTACAGTTAGGATTCCTTTCCCCAAAGCCTAACTTTGTTTTACTTTGCTGATAAAATATAGCAATTTCCCCAGATCTTCCCCCACAGACATTCCCACCTCCTAGATTAGAAATTCATAGTGCACACAATAGGACCATGATTGCTATTTTCCACATTCTGTTCATCGTTTTCTTTAGTCACACCTCTGTGATGTTTAATAAGTCCTTATTGAATTTGACAGCAGTTGTATGCCAGAAGCACAGACATAGCATTAGTCATATTTCCTCTACTCTGGAGTAATCCAATAATGGCTAGGTAATTAAAACCTGCCCCTTACTAACATGTCTGGCTTCATGCTTTTTCTTTTGTATATTCAAAATCTTGTTATATTTCCCTGCAGAACAGCCCTGTCAGAACTGCACAAAACCTCGTGAGATGTGTGGTGAAGGCAGTGCCAGAACATCAAGGAACAAGCGAAGAGCAAATTAAATGAGAGCAAGAGAGGGAAAACTATATGAAAAAACAACAAGATAGAAGGAGGTGTGTTTGGGGGATGAGGGGGGGAAGGGAAATAAATATTTGCAAGCCACAAGCAGCCCAGGCCATTGTCTTGCTTTAGATGTGTGCAAGATCACCCCAAAAGTGAAGTGGCAACTTGTATCCCATGGTGCAACCAAACATTGCAGTAGGACGCAGAGACACATCAGACAACATGAAATGAGTGCTGTAGGAAAGATGCTAACCTGAACACAAAAGTCATTGCTTTGGAGTTTTGAACTTTTGTCCTGTGCTCTGTACTGAAGTGGTGATAAAGTGAGACGATTACATCTGCCAGTAGACCCGTGATATTTGGATCCTTTTTTCACCTGTTCTCCTCTCACAGATTCTTTTCTCGTTATATTCTCCCTCATCCTCCTTTACCTTGACTTTATTCTGGAAATAAAAGACAGAATTTTCCTGTGCCAGTACTTAAAATTAGCACACTTATAAATATCAG